CTACACACGCAGGGGAGCATTATCAGCCTTAAAGAGGAAGGACACACTGACCATGCCCAACCTTGAAGACACGGAGCCAGGTGAGCTCAGACAGCCACAAAAAGACAGAAACAACATCAACAAAACCCAGTACAACAGGATTCCACTTGTATGCAGTATCTCACATCAGATCCGTAGACAGAATGTGGATGGTGTTCCCACCGGCTGGGGAGGGTGTGGAGCTTAAGTCCTGCAAGACAAGGTGCTATGCAGGCAGGTGGCACTGCAACGTGGACGTGCTCGGCCTCACGGGGCTGTGAGCTGAGCATGGCTAAGAGGGTGAATCTCCTGTTACAAGGGGGTTATTTTTTTCCATCATGAGTCACTCTGAGGAGTGCAGGTGGGTTGTAACCTGGGTCCTGTGTAATTGAGAACGACAGGGTTGCAGGCTCAGGGTGACAAGCAGCCACCGACAAGGCACTGTGGGAAACCGGGGCCTGGGCACGGTGTGCTGGGGAAACAGGGCTCTGTGCTTGTCCTCACGCAGGCACACTAAGGAAGTGCTGAGGGAAGCCCCCTGGGCTTGTCTGGCCTGTCCTTGGCTGTCCCTGTCCCAGCCTGGGACGAGCTCCCCTGGCTGGATCCAAGGGTCCCATCTCCCCCCGCCCCCCGCCACCAGGGCATTTGTCACAGGTGGTCATCTCCCTTTCTGGAACCTTCCTTTACCTGGCTTTAGGGACTCCGCCTCCCGGTCCTCCCTTACTCCCTACCAACACCATCTCAGTCTCCTTCCCTGTTTTCCCCACCGCCCTGCGCTCCTCTTGCCAATGTGCCCAGGGCTCTATCTCCTTCCACCCACACGGTCTCCCCAGGATGTTAACCCCTCGATGGCGCCTGACCTCATGTCTCCATCCTGGGCCTCTCCCCTCAAGGCCTGACTCGGGGTTCTCCTCTTGCTCGATGCTTCCACAGAGATGTCTATTTGACATCTTAATGACCAAATAGGAGAGCAACTTTCTTTTTTTTTTTTTTTTTGGTACCGGGGATTGAACTCAGGGGCCCTTGACCACAGAGCCACATCCCCAGCCCTATTTTGTATTTTATTTAGAGACAAGGTCTCACCGAGTTCCTTAGCACCTTGCTGTCCTCCTGCCTCAGCCTCCCCAGCCCTTGGGGTTACAAGTGTGGGCCACGGCGCCTGCCGGAGACCCAATTTCATATATCCCAGTAGCTTCCCTTCTCAGGACATAGCAACTCCACTTCCACTTGCTCAGACCATAGACCTGGAATCAGCCTGAACCTCTCTCTCCCATATCCCACATTCAATTTACCAGTAAGCCCCGTCTGCCCAGCCTTTGACGTCTGTCCGTAATCTCCGTCTTTGTTTCACTGCTATCCACTTGCTCCAGGCCCAGTAGCCGCTCGTCCCCTGCAGTAGGATTGTTGCCGCTGCCTGAGGAGTGGTTTGTCTGCTTCTGTCTTAAACTCATCTCTCAACAACTTATTCCCAGAATAACAACCAGAGTGATCCTTTGAAAACACAAGATCCCGTCCTTCTCTGATCAAATCCCCAGAGGCCTCTCCTTTCAAAACAGGATGAAAGCAAAGTTCTTACAGCACCTACAGTGCCCACCTAATTGGGTGCTGGTGCCTCTGTGACCTACCTTGTCCCACCAGCCCCTCTGCTCCTGTATTCCCAGCCTATCTGTAATTCTTTGAACATGCTTAGTGGCTTCTGCCCCAGGGCCTTTGTGCTTGCTCTGCCCAGAATCCTCTGCCTGCTGAGAAATCTGCATGGTGCTCTCTCTGTCCTCGCCTCTCTCTACTTGCAGGTGTTCTTATTAGAGAGAACCCTCTGTCTCTGTATAAGGAGCCATATCCGAGCACTGGCCCTCTGCCCTTTCCTGCTCTACCCCTTACCTTGCTGTATTTTTGTCCACAATACTCTGACCCTGGGTCAGGGCTATGAGGACAGGGACCTTGCCTGACTCGTGAGCTGCTGTATCCCAAGAGAGCAGTACAATGCACACAGTGGGTCCTCATCAGCAGGTGTCCAGGGAGTCAGTATTGAGGGAGCCTGCTCAGCGTGCCCATCTGCGAGGCGGCCGCGGCCTGTCAGTGTCTCTGAGCTGTGAACTCGCGGAGCTGCGTCTTTCCCACAGGAGAGGACGTCGCTGTCGCAACAGCCTCAGAACCAGCGGCTCTAGGTGGACTTACTGGGTGATACCATGACCTGTTCCCAAACTGGAGAGCTATGTCTTGTCCCCATTTCTGCTATGGTCCCCTCAAGAGCCCACCCCACTGCTGAACCTCCAGCCGGTATCTCTACTGCCAGGGATGCCATTTGCCCTGGGCCCAGGTGGGGGCTTCTGCAGTGCTGGGGAAGAGTGCTTCCGCTCGTCCTGGGAGGCTGGGCTTGCTGGCCACGGGCCACAGAACCAAGAGCAACTTCGCTACGAGATCAACCTGCCCCCAGCCTGCCTCTCCAAGCTAGAATCTTTCCTTCCTCCACTCTCACCAGCTGGCCTGGCAGTGACATCTGGCAGCGCTGCACTGATTCCCAGGCTTTTTCTGTGCGTTGCCATGGAAATGGGCCCCTGGTACCCCAGAAAAATATATTCCAGTGTCGTTCATTCCCACACCTGATTGCCTTCCCAGAGCCCAGAACACACACGCCCACGTGCACACACACAGTGACCTCAGTGCGAAGGGCTCTAACTGCCCGGTGACACCGCATGGGAATGAGCGAGTCACACGGCAGGCACTTGAGACTCACATGGGCTGCTGTGTGGCTCACGTGCGGGGGGTGGGGTTGGGGGTGGGGGTAACCTTGACTCACAAGTGCATGGCTCCTGGCAGGAGTCGCTCTAGCTCCTCCTGCATCCCGCCAGGAAGCCCATCCAGGAGGGAGGCTTTTGCTTTCCTGTGAAATCAAATCTTTGTTCTAGGTCCACTCAGGCGAAGGGGAAAGTCACGGCCTTGCTTTAGGTAAGGACCATAGCAACCACGATTCCCTCTTAGCATGCCTGCCGCTTCACACAGCAGGCACCTCCCGTTCCTGGGCTGAGGAGGGCCCGGCTGGCCTCAGGGACCTGCTGTGTTCCCTGACCTTCCTGGGGGGCCTGCCCTGCGAGGCTGAGGAGGGGCCTTGTATACTGCAGGAGCCTCAGGGGAAATTCCTTGGGTTGACAGATGAGCTCTGTCCATGTGTGCAACGCACAAGTACATGCTTCCCATACACACACGTGTGTGTGTGTGTGTGCACAGGCTCATCTCGTCTAGGCCTGCAGAGATCCTCTGGTTATCCCCCACCCAGACATCCCAGCCCACTTATCTCCCAGGCAATATGGGCTCCACCGACACCTTTCTTTTAGTACACACACCTGCCAGCACAGACTCACGTGGGCAGAGGATTTATAGAGTGCTCAACCCTTTTCCGTGTCCTTTTGCAAAGATCCTGAAAAACCAAAAATAAACACTGATGACCATTGCAGAGTGAGGCGCTACTCCACCCACCCAGGGGCTTACAAAGGCGGGGACCAAATCGAGCTCTCCAGCCCTCGGCGCAACCGCGACTCGAGGTCCCGAGGCCCACAGTGTTGGAAGCAGGTCTGAGAGAGAGGTCTGCGCTCCAGATCACAGCAGCTTCTTTCACAACAGCCAAGAGGTGGAAGCCACCGAGGATCCGTCCACAGATGGATGAGTAAAGAAAAAAATATGTGGTTCATATACCATGGAATGTTACTCATTCTTAAAAGAGAGGTCACTCCGACCCACGCTACAACACAGAGGGCGCTTGCTGACGTGACACAGGTGGGCAGGACTGAGGGGTGGAGGAGGAAGGTGCTCCGCTCCCGGGAGGCGCGGGGTGCTGTGGCACTTCCTCTCGGGGTGCTGGCCCTTCCTGTTGGTGTGTGGCTGGCAGCCCTGGGAGGGCCTCCCGGAGCACTCAGCCTGGGCACCTGGAATCCGGGGGAAACATACGGGGCTGGTGGTTGCCCCCATCCAAGAGGCCTAAGGACAAAAAGAGGCTAGGCTGCCCAGCTACTTGGACTGTCACCAGAGGAGGGACACTGAGGTGGCCATGGCCAATACTCTGGCATGACTGGGCAGAGAACAGGGGAGCATCTTCCCTGAATATGTGGATCATGTGCAAAGGGAGTCCTGGTGGGAAGTTCTGCCCCAAAAGGCCACCCGGGGGGAAAGAATCCCAGAAGTCCTCAGGGGTGGGCAGCTGGCCAGCCCGACAGCAGAGATGACCCCTGCCTTGTAGGAATCGCAGCCGCAAGGTCCCCAAGGGAACCTTGAACCCAGAGTGTCCACAATAGTCAGGCTTGAACCTCTGCTGAGCCAGGGGGGTTGGGGGGACCAACCCCAGCCCAGGAACTGGGGGTCAGCTCTCTAAACCTCTTCCACATCGCCTGGACACACCTCAGAAGGCCTATGGAGTGGGAAAGGGAGGGGACACCTCTTTCCCAGGTGGGATCTTCTGTCCAGCCCCAGGGGCAAGTGGTCAAGGCGAGGGACACCTGATAGTTTCTCCATCATAGATGGGGTTTTAATCATGGAGATGAGGCGGTTCTTGAGATGCCAGGATGTGGGGCAGTGTCTGAGTTCCTACCTCTCCAAGATCTCCTCAGCCAGGCAGGGAGACAGCGGTCCCACCAGCATTTTGCAAGGACGGTCATTTCAAAACATGGATGTCCTGGCGGCCTGGAACCTAAAGAATTCTGCTCTTCTCTGAAGTGCTCCTCCTAGGGACAGAGTGAGCCGGACACGAGGACCCACAGGGACCTGGGTCCCAGCTCACACTCACATCACCCCTCAGACTCTGTTTTTGCTGTGACTGGCTGTTACAGTAAGTTGATTTCTTCCCCTGCAGCACCACACACACACACACCATTGTCATTTGGTTTTGTTGCAAACTGACCACAGCCAAATTAGGAAAGAGGGTTCCAGCAACCACAACAAAAAGACATATTTGTTTCTTTTAGATTTAAGGAAATTAGAAACACAGCACATTTAAGGCCCCACATGATGACTTTATCTTTGAAGTTTTCATAATTTTGGACACAAGAACTGCAGTGCGAGCTTGGGCCACATGTCAGATGGAGCCCCCTGGACACTATCCAGTGTCCACCGCCTCTGACCTATAGGACTCTTTCTTGTGGCACTACCTAAGAAGGTGCCTTTGTAAGATTCTATGTATACAAGGGGGTAATGGCTCATGTACAGCAGGATTTCCGTGGAGATCAAATGTACAACAAAAACCAGGCCCTAACTGTCTAGTCAGGTCCACCAGTTTCCAGCTATCTTGTCCACGTACTGATGGGCAGGAGGTCCTCCGCTGCCAGCTGTGTTGCTCAGTTTTCCAACATCCCTCCCTTGATGGGAGGGAAAGGACTTCAGACTCACTTGTCTTATTCTATTTCTTGACAAGAGCTCTTGCTTATTCTCTGATCTTTTGTTTTGTACCCTTTTGTTCTCAGAAAGCAATATTCGCTCTCTCCTTCTGAACACAGGATTGTTCTTCTTGTTCTTGGCAGATTCCTTCTGTCCCCACCACCATCTCCATCACCTTTGGGATCCTTTTTATCTATTTTTTTTGTTGTTGTTCCTGAGGCTCATGTGGTTGCCTAGAGACTTTGCCTGGTTCCTGTTTAAACTGGGAAGCTGGTGGAAGCCTTTGAGAGGGGGCTTGCTGACCTGAGAGCGGCTCTGCCCGCGGAGCCCGGGGGATGGGTCTGCCCTCGGCTCCTCAGCTTCCTTGGAAGGAGCACGCCAGCCTCCTGCCTCTGGGAGGAGACAACGTGGCTCTCACTGTCCAACGTGAACTTTTCATTTAATATTCCTGCAAAATAAAGTCTCCTGCCCCATCCTGATGATTGCCTAATCCGTCTTTCCAAAGAAAAGAATCCAGTGTGATAGGAGAGATGTTCGCCTGGATTCCCTGGCTGGGTGATGATGGTGGGGTGGGTGGTGGAGGTGATGGTGGTGATGGTGGCAGTGTGTTGGAGACAGTGGTGGAGGTGATGGTGGTGATGATCTTGGTGGTGGTGATGGTGGCAGTGTGCCAGGGACGGCCGTGGAGGTGACGGTGGCACTGATGGCAGTGGAGGTGACGCTGCGGGTGCTGGTGCTGACATCGATACTGTCTTCAGCTCCGCTCCTCCCCCCAGCACCGAGATAACTGGTGTCCAGCTCCTGAGATGCTCCCAGTCCCCCGGCTTCCCTCTCATGGGCGTCCCCATTTGTCAAGGAAGTAACTCTTGACCCCGTCGCTGCCCTTCTAAGAGTGGATGGGCAAGTGGCAGCTCCTGACCTCTCTGCTTTTGTGAACTTGGACCTCTTCAAATTCCATTGTCCCTTTTAGTGGGGTTTGAGGAAAGAGCAGATACAAAAAAAGAAATTAATTTTTCCTTTAAGTGTAAGTTCCCCACTGCACTTTTGATACTTAAGTTTGGCTCCTTTTCATCCTATTTCCTGCCTTTACCCTACTTTTTTTTTTTTTTTTTTGATATAAGGAGCAGGCTCCATCTCAGCACACTGAAAGCCCAGTGTGAATAAGACTCTGGGCTCGCCTTGGTCCCAGCCGAGCTCCACATCACAGCTCTGTGTCTCTCAGAAAATGGAAAAGGCCTGGGCCACCTTGATTCTTGAGTTTTTCTAATAATATATATATATATATTTTAAATGAAGATATACTGAGACAAAAATGAGGAAAATTAAAAGATATTTTAAACATTTGCATTTGCCAAATTCATTCTTTCAACACTGAAAAAAAATTACAAAGCAATATAATTATGTTCTATTCACGAGATAATTACAGGATTTATTATTAAAAGTGATAGTTGGTAACATATAGGCAAAGCGGCCAGGTAATGATCGGTGGGGTAAAACAGTGTGACGAGTGTCTTCTTTGAATTTCATTTCAGCATCCAGAGACAATCTCAGCCTTCTGAGTCCTGTGGTTTCCACAGACAGGCTTCCACCCCCTGTCTGTGCCCTCTCCACAGGTACACCCCTCCTGCCACCAGATGGGACCTGGAACGTGGGCCGGGCAGGCACAGAGGGCAGAGCGGGAGTGAGCGAGTGACCCAGCTGCTTTGCTCCACAGGCCCCGAGTTACCTGTGACCATGTCCCTGGGACTGAATGTCCCCAGGTCCTGCCTGACAGGGAGACAGAAAAGAGGTTAACTAACCCACATGGTTCACCCCTCTTTCTGATGCTTGGACTTCCAGACCTTCACTCCGAGGACTTGGAACATGGGGTGGAGTCCTCCCGTTCCCTGTACCTTAATAGACACTTACATACAAAACAGTCACCATCTTCCTCCTGACTCACCCGATGAAGGGTGGGTTTCTGTTCTCCACACTTTCTTCTACCAGTGAGGCACCACAGGCAGATGCACATGTGCACACAGGCAGCCCTCTAAATGAACGGAACGCTGACTCTGAGATCAGACAGGCACGGGTTCAAATCCTGACTCCCTGCCTGCCCTTAACAAGTAGATGACTTTGGCTTTGTCACCACCTCTCTGCTCCAGCTTCATCTGGACAAGTGATTTCATAATATTTTCAACTGCATAAGATGATTTCAGAATAAGATCATGTGAAATGACACATTACAACAACACTGGCTGGAAGTGCCGATCACGATGCCGTCGACATAGTAGGTGCTTGAGAAACCAAAGCCAGATGATTGTCATTGATTCTTTCATTCAACTAACATTTAAGAAGCACCAGGTAATAGGGGGCAAGACAGCGTACCTGTCTCCCAAAAAACGCGTCCTCCAGGGTCAAAGGGGGAGGTGCACACAGGCAATGGGCAGGCTGCATGTCACATGCCCAGGATTTGCCTCTGGGATGCACCAAGGATGAGGGCAGTCAGGACTGCCCAGGAGGATGGACAGGAAGAGCCCAACCGGACGAGCGGTGGTTCAGTGGGCCCTGAAGTTGGGAGAACTTGCAGGAGACAGTTTGATATTCTGCCTTGTTAACTGAGCCTCAAATTACAAGTACTTTTAGTGCTGCTACATAATCTTCCTGTCGTTTTTAATGACTGCATCCTATTACACTGCTTCAAAATACTGTACTTCAAAATACTGTCACCTTTCCCCCGTCATTGGATTTTTAGGTCACCAATTTGGAGCTATCATCGATATCCCTATGATGAACACGCATGTGACAGATTTCCCTCTCGGGAATTATTTCTGTAGGATAAGTTCTGGGTCAAAGGCTAGGAGCCTTTTTCAACAGCTCCTGTGACTCGCTGCCAAGTTGTCATCAAAAGTCTCACATGAGGGAAGTGTCAATTTTACGTATTTTGTCAGCACAGGGAAAACGGGTGCTTCCATGTTGTCTTAGTCTCCATTTCCTTGATAAGGAGAACCTCAAGGCTGCTAGGGGCAGGAGAGGGCTGCGCGCTGACTCAGACCCGGGTTTGGAAGGTCTGTGAGAAGCAGGGTTTGTCTTACTGAAGGGCAGGGGGACCAGGGGCCAGCCAGTGACACGAATGGCTTTCCACCTCTCTTCTATGGCTGGCTAAATGGATAATTGACCTCACAAAAATCACCATCGAATGTATTTAATGGGGGAAATGTTGTCATTTCCAACCCCGACCGCTTTTTTAGGAAGGTGGCAACTGTTAAAGGGGGACTCTTTACTCTTCCACAAGCTCTTTGAAAGGTGTAGAAAAGCACTTGAAACCAGAACACCACCTGTGCATGTTCCATGATTGATTGACAAGTTGCTGTTTGCCTGTGTCCTAGAGCCAACAGGGTTCACCTCCCTTTCTGATGCTTAGACTTCCAGACCTCTACTCCATTTTCTGTTGCTCGAATGAAGTACCCGAGACCAGGTAATTTATAAAGAATAGAAATGTATTTAATAATAAAAATGTTTTGTAGGCAGGGAGTCCCGGGCGTGGTGCCGGCCTCTGTCAGCCTCTGGTGAGGGCCTCCTTGCCACAGCACAACTTGGCGGAGGGCAGCAAGTGAAGGGTCTCTTTCTCCTCTTAGAGTCCCTAATGCCATCGTGGGGCTTCACGCTCATAACCTCGTCCAATACTAGTCTCATCCCTAAGGCCCCACCTCGAAATACCGCTCACGGGAGTTCAGAGACTCCGTTTCCACCTCCTGAACTTGGGGTGCATCTTCCAACCATAGCACCTGTCCACTGTGCCTTAGGGGAGGGGACGGTGAAGGTCACTCAGGATGGAGGGGAAGATTCGAGGAAGTCCGTTCTAGAGGAGGTGAGGAGGGAAGCGCCCCTCTGCTCCCTGAGGTGGCTCCTCGGAGGGGAAGCTGGGGGGAGATGGACAGACCAGCTGCCCAGGACGCTGGCTTCCCCGGCTCAGGGAGGAGCCCTGGGGACGGCCTGGCAGGAGGCTCCTGAGAAAGTGGGACAGGCAGGGTGGAGGGGCGTGTGGCCTGTTTCCCCCGGGTATGGCAGGGAGCCTGGGCAACTGAAGCAGAATCCTGCACACCACTGTGTCCAGCTGGGGCAGGGACAGGAAGAAAGCCCATGCAGGAGGAAGCGGCTGGAGGAGTGAGCCCGGGGAGCGGGGGGGGCGGGTGGTGTGAAATATCTGCACCCTCCCTGGGACCCCACCAAGGACCCTGAGTCACTAAGAGAGGCTAGTGTGAGTGGACTCAGGACCAGAGGCAAATGGCTAATCATGGTCCTCAGCAGTGGGAGGCCACACCCTGTCCCGAAGTCCAGTTGAGACTGATCATCCTCAGCAGACCCCCCCCCCAGGCTGAACCAGACGGTCCACAGCAGGGTGGGTTGCAGGAACCTCGCAGCTCCCGTCTACCCGCACCAACTGCCACCTCACGCCACCCACACGCGGGAGGAGGTGCCTCCACCACTCCATTCACCATTGCTATAAAGAAACGTCCGATGCTAGGTACTTTATAGAGAAGAAAGGTTTATTTAACTCACAGTTTGGAAGGACCAAAGTCCAAATGGCACGATGCCGGCTCTGGTGATGTCCCCCGTGGCTGTGACACAGCATGGAGACTTGCATCGTGACAGAAGCACATTAAAGAGGGGGATCTGACATTCAGACAAGGATGACAGAGAGCTGGAAGGGGCTCTTTCAAAACTCACTCTCAGGGGGTTCCAGGGTTCCAGAAGAGCTACTTGAGGTCCTTCAGAGGGCACGCCCTGCCATGACTTGAAATCCTCCCGGTAGAACCCGCGTCTTAAAGCTCCCGCCATCTCTAACATCATCACTCCGGGGGACCAAGTTGGGCACACTCTATCTCCATCCAAACCATGGGGGGCCAACTACTTGCATCACAGAGGCCAAAGAACTTGGAATTCCCAGGGAATTCTGGGAAGGAGGGAGGAAGCCACGGAGGTGGGAAGGCAGGAGACGACTTGACAGCCCGATGACAAAAGGCTGTGCCCCTGACAAGGTCTCCCTCACTCACCCCAGGACCCAGAGGAGCTCCATCTGGCTGATGCTGGATGCTGGGTGGTGTGTGAAATAGAAAAGGAGCCTCCATTCCCAGCCTCCTCCCTCTGAACCTGAGGATTTTTTGAGATCTCTTCCTTTTCTCCAAGGCGGCCCCACAAGAGAACAATCTTTCCGGGGATCATTTTGAGAATGAGACAAGGAAATGCTTGTAAAACTGACGCCGGTGGCAGGGGGCTGGGAGCAGCAGGTGTCAGCAATGACGGTGCCGATGCTGATGTGTTTCCTACCCCTTGTCCATCTCTCCTCCTCCTGCCCCCAGAGCCCCGCCCAGCCTCAGTGGCGAGTCCCTGGGAGTCTGAGCCAAATGTAATGGTGTAAAACACACCCGATCGCTGAGACTTCAAACAAAATTAAAACCACGTCCACCAGGATTTAGATGGATGCATGTTGAAATGTCAACATTGTAAATATACCGGATATGCTACTGAAGTTAATTTACTCTCTTAATGTGGCTTCTAGAAAATTCTGAATTCCATATGTGGCTTGCATTCTATCTATGGATAGTGCTGCTGCCCTAGACAGCTGACAGCTTTTTGGAAACCGCAAGTGGTCTTTCTACAAGGGTGTGTGTGTGTGTGTGTGTGTGTGTGTGTGTAGCTGAGCTCTTGCGGGAGGCGGAATGAATCCCGTGGCTGGCCAAATCCTGCCTGAGCTTGATTCTGAGCTTGATGGGAGAGTGCTTCAGAGGCTCTGTGAAGGAGCCTGACCTGATTACATTGTTTAAAAGACACCGGCAGCAGAGTGGAACCGGGGCTGGAGGTGCTCATAAACCCAGCTCCCAGAGAAGCGTTGAAGTGAAGGAGAACCAGAGGACAGTGGCCAGCCCCGTGGGCTCTGGGGCCAGGCTCGTTGGCTGCAGTTCTAGCACTTGTACTAACTAGCTGTGTGACCTCCAGCGAGTTACCTAACTGGGCTGTGTCTTCTTAGCTCGTTCCTCTATAGCGGGGTCTGTTTGATCCTTGGGTTGCTACAAGGTACCCGAGTCAGCGTTGGCTCCCCTAACAATAGGCCAAGTGGTTTATAACAGATGTCGGTTGCAGATCAGGAAGCCTGAGGTCAGGGTGCCAGCCCGCTCAGGCCCTAGCAAGGGCCCTCTTCCAGGATGCACACTGCTGATGGTGTCCCTGTGAAAGGGCACTAATCCTGCCCAACAGCAGGTGCTGGATAAATGCCAAGCCCTCCACAGGGCCAATGGCTGAAGGCACTGGCTGCGGAGACCTGACTGGGGCTGGAACTAGAAAGTGACCCAGCTGTGGGAGGCGCTGTCCCCTGGGCGGACTCACACCTGGGACTCTCCAATCAGCTCCACCGCAGGGTCGGCTGCTTCTGTCCTTGGGCTGGGCTCTGGTGGGCAGGCCGGGCCTGGAGTCTGTTCAACAAACGTCCCAGCCGTTTTCCAGGAGGTTCCTTCGCTCGCCCAGTGGCTTCGGTCCAACCTGTTCTCCTTTTGTAGCCGGGATTTTGTTAAGAGTCCAAATTCCAGGCCACCGGTCAGCAGCATGGCCTTGCTGACCACGGGGAGCCCGCCTGGAATGCAACCCCACGGGCTGCCCAGGCCTCCTGCCCTGGGCGGTTCCCAGGGAGGCTGGTAAAGCAGGAAGGAGCTCCAGGCTCTGCACAATGGCTGCCCGGGTTCTTTGTTTTTTTTTTTCCTCTGCCCTTTTTTAAAGAATGAGACACACCTGCTACCAGCTGGGACTTCTCTTCCTCAATCTGCTTTACAAATAAATCCAATCCTTGGGCCCGAGCCTTCTATTTATCAAATACTTCATGGTTTACAGAAGATTCCCAATCCTACCACAGGCTTCAGTTTTACAATGGGGTGGGGGATTAGAATTCAGAAAGGGCCAGTGACTGGCTCCAGGACACACAGCCAGGAAATGGCAGGTACAGGGGTTGAGATTTTTCTACAAAGCAAATCAGGCAAAAATAGTGTTTGAGTTCAGTCCTCAGGACTCGGAGCTAGCCCTTCCCTCTGGGAGTGGAAGGAAGGACAGGGTCCCTTGTTCCACGCAGGTGTCATCATGGGGAGGGATTTGTCCTTGGAGGTAGCTCAGGAGTGACCTCACACTATCCTCTCATCACAGTTCAAACCTAGCCCCAGTTTCTCCAGTTCATCATCCACTACACACACACACACACACACACACAAACACACACAAACACACACACACAAACACACACAAACACACACACAAACACACACGCACAAACACACACACAAACACACACACAAACAAACACAAACACACACACACAAACACACAAGCACAAACACACACAAATACACACACAAACACACACACACGCACAAACACACACAAACACACACAAACACACACAATGCACAAACACACACACAAACACACACATACAAACACACACACACACACACACACACACACACATACACAGAGCCCTGGGGATGGAAACCAGCAACCCTACAGTTGAGATGCACCCCCAGATTGCCCCCCCTTTGTATTGGGGTAAAAAAGTGCACGAGGTCCACCTTTTAACAAATTTTCAGGCCTACGGTTCAGGACTGTTAGCTCTGGGCACCCTGTCCTGCAGCAGGTCCCTGGAACTCTTCCACTTGGTGCGACTAAAACTCTCCAGCCGCTGAGCAGCGACCCCAGCAGCCCCCAGCCCGGCTGCCACCTCCGGGCTCTGCTGCTCTGCACTGAACCATCTTGGATCCTCCCAGACGTGGAATCCTGCCGAGCTGCCCTCCTGGGACTGCCTGCTCCATTTTTCAAAGGTCTGTCAAAGTAGCCAGGTCGGAAGCAAGAGCTCTGAGTTCCGTCCCCCGCTCGGCCCCCAGCCTGAGTTTCGATGACCTTAGGCAGATCACTAACCATCCGTCGCCAGGCCTCAGTCTTCTTCTCTGAAGAAAGGGGTGTCGAGCCTTAAAGAGCTGGTGCTCCCCTCTATGCTTCTGAACCTTCCAGAAGACGTTCCAGAAGACATCAGCTTGGCTCTGCCACTGACCACCTGGGCCCAGGGCAATGCATGTCCCGACCCTTTACCCTCGGTGCCCTGCTCCACCGGCCTCATCCACAGGTCCCCTGAGGCCTCCCACAGGTGGCCCAGGATCCTCTCCAGGGCCTCAGAGCAGCCTCCCAAGCCTCCCATGCAGTGACAGTGGACACACAGGACACCACAGTGAGGCGCAGTCTCCCTCTGCACCCCCACAGCAGCCCGGGGAGGCCTGGGCACCATCCCAGAGTGGACAGGGCCCGTGGGGGGCAGGTGCCATGTGCTCGTTTCCCTAATTGTCCTGGCTGGTCATTGTTTCTGCTGATTAATTCCCAATGAACACTGGGAGCCCAGCATGGGCCTGATTCTGCAGCTTCCTGGAGCCAGTTCCCAGATCTTTCTGGCATGGCTCCACCCCGGGCCTTCCTGCTTCCACAGCTGCCCCTGAGAGAGGGCCCCGGAGCTCACAGAGAGCCACCCTCCCACGGGACTGTGACACCAGGCCCATTGTCACCATGCTCCATCGGTGGAGACTGAGGCTCAGGGAGGCTGAGTGGCTCCCACTGTCCCACAGCCGGTAAGACCTTGGTGGCGATGAATCTGCCCCACGGGTCTCGAGATGGCCTGTGCATCCGCAAAATGCTGATCTCCGCTTCCTCCTCCAATCGTCAGAACCCACGGCCCTGCCCTCGCAGGACTTGAATTCTTTAGAAGCAACGAGCCCATAGACCAACGGCAGGCCTTGTCTTCCCGAAGGCACATCTGTGACATTCGAGGGGTTTCCAAGCTAGCCGGGGGATCTCCCGGCTGTGTTAGGAATACACAAAGCCATTTGGCTTTTAATAACATGGTGAGAAAACAGTGTGACTTTCAAGTCTTTATTAGGCCCGGAATGCATTTTCCAAAGCAGGAATGAGCTGACACAGGCAGAGTGTCAGCTGGAAAAACAAGGTCTGGGTTAGGTGGCCCAGAAAAGCCCGCTTTGGTGCCCAGAGCTTCCCATTGACTTCAATTGCTGGTTAGCACAGGCCAGCAGAAGCATTGTCCTATCTGTGAATGCGCCGTTGGAAATGACCCCACATAGTTAATGGGGGCTTAATAGCGGCTTGCTTGGTCCTTGGGTTGGGCTCCTGTTGTCATTTTTAGTAAGAAAATTACCCCGTCTGTCATTCCCTTTAAACCCCCCAACAGTAATGATTAGCCAGGCCCAATGAGAACCTGGCCTACCCTTGACCTTGGCTGGATGGAAGCTCGGTGACCCTTTAAAGACTGTGGAATCATTTCATTCTGGCCAGCTAGGGAGGTGAGGTTGGAGCAGACACTTGGTAGAAAATGGCTCATAATTCACATTTGTCTCTTGTTTCCCATTTTTTTTTTCAGAGCCCAGGGTGACCCTGAGGCCACAGCGAGGTGTCTCGAGTAGGGATCAGCAAACCCAGCCCAGCCCACGCCTTGGTACAGGAGTCCTGCAGGCCTGTTACTCACGCTCTCTGTGCAGCTTTTGCCCCACCCCCACCCCACCCCCACCCAACAGTAGAGGTAGGCAGGCCTGGCAGAGGCCACTCAGCCTGCAGAACGTTAAATATTCACTCTGATCCTTTACAGAGAAAGTCCAAGGGTCTCTGCCCTCATTCATGAAGGCCAAGTGTGAACCCTGCATCAACCCCTGACCAGCTGTGTGAACTTGGGCCAGGGCTTTGACCCCTCTCCTTGGAATCGTTTCCTTTACCTGTTCCTTAAAGCCTAGGCCAGCACCCGTGTGCGGGGTGCTGCTGAGCTCTCCACCCTCCTCAGCCACAACACTCCTTTGGCCATGGGTGGGCCTGGCTACGCGACTTTCCTGGAGCCCTGAAATGTGAGGGGGCAGTCATGTGCAGGTGTGGCTTCCCCGTGCCCTGTCTTCCTCGGCCATGTTGAACAACACCAGGTGTTTGAATCTGGAATGTCCCCAAAGGCTCATATGCTAAAGGCTTGGGCCCAGCTGGGCACTATTAGGAGATGCTGGAAACTTTAAGAGGCAGAGCCTAGTCGGAAATCTTCAGATCATGAGTGGGGATGCCAGGGGACTGTTGGACCCCAGACTCTTCCTCTATCTCTTCCTAGCCATGAGGTGGCCAGTTTTGCTCTGCAAGGTGCCCGCACCATAATGTGCTTCCTCTCCACAGGCCCAGAGCATGGAGGCCAGCTGATCATGGGACTGAAACCTCTAAAACTGTGAGCCCCAAGGAAGCTCTCCTCTTTACAAGTGGGTTATCTCGGGTGTTCTTTACAGCAGTGAAAAGCCGACAACACAGGCCGTTGATAACCACCACGTGCTGCAGAACTGAGACTCGCTCCAAGCTCCTTCCCCACTTGGACCCCCACTGTGATCTCCATGGAGGCGTGTGGGTGAGGGAGGAAGCTGGGTAGCTGTGGTGTCTCGGGGCTGAACTGAACTTGGGGAAAGACCCAGAGCCCAGAGGAAGGTGGCAGGAAGGACGGCAGTGACCTTTCTCTGGCAGAGAAGCCAGTGCCGACCACAAGCCCTCTCCAGTCAGTTTGTGGTTCGCACCTCTGACCCACGCTGCTCCCACAGGCCACTGGGAGACCCGAGCTCCTCAGGGCCACCCCAGTGTCTTAACCAACCCGGCTCTCAGAAGGCCGGCTCCCCAAGTGACCCAGCATGGGCACTTAGTCACTGTCTGGCCCGTGTGGACTGAAACAGGAGGTAAGATGGAATGGAGTGAGCCTGTCCCTGGGGTGGGCACCCACAGGAAGGCAGGTCGCGTTCATACCGATTTTTCCTCCACTGAATTAAATACTTCTGAGCACCAGTTACCAGAACCAAGTTGTCCGGCCCTGCCACTTGCCAACTAGGTGACCTTGGGCAAGTGCTTTAAAGCCTCTGTGTCTCCCTTTCTCACCTGTAGAACAGCACGGAGTCTGTGTCCTCGTCAGGTTGTATCGAGGTACACAGAGAAAGTGCAGACAGCCACTGCTGTGGATTGGATGTGGTTTGTGTCCCCCACCCCAGGGGTCAGAGTACGGGATGCGTGGCCCCAGAGTGTGGTGGTGCTGGGAGGGGGCAAGGTCTGTAAGAGACGGAGCCTAGTGGAATCCATTGGGTCATCAGAGATGATTGCCCTTGAAAGGAATTAATGTAGTTTCCATGGGACCCTGGTTAGATCTCTTGCATGTGTTCCACCATAACACCATCCGCCATGACGTGATGCCGCCAAGGGACCCTGACCAGAGACCAAACCTGATGTTGAACTTCTGCAAAATTGGAAGCTGAATAGACCCTTTTTAAAAACAATGCGCCCAGCCTTGACTATTTCATTATAGCCATGAAAAATGGACTCTGTCCTATGCCAAGCATTGGATGAATGCTGTTAGTGTCGTAGGATGCAGAATTCTTCCCCTCATTCCAACACCCTCCAGCTTGTCGGGCTCACAGCCCTCACATGCCCGAGGGTGCTCACCAGCCTACGTTTGACTGCTCACATTATCCTGCCATCATCCAAGCCCAGCTCAGAAACCATTCTCTTGTCCCCAGGAAATTGGAGCAGCATTCCTTATAGATCCTGACCCCAGGTAGGACAAAGCCTGATCCACACAGTGTTGGTCAACCTCTGGGCACCGCGCCACCCCCCTCCCCTCTGTGAGGGTGGGGGCAGGGGAGGGGGCACCTGGCAAGCCTGGCCGCACCCGGCGTGTTTGTGTATTTCCACTTTCATGCTTCAGTTGTGGTCACCCCTGACTCATCAGTTACTTAACAAGCTCCAGGACAGTTCCTCTTCCTTGTGACACCTCGTCAACAGCCCATCTAGCTGGGAGACCACGGGCTCCACGGGACATTCTGTGGGCTCAGTCCTCCCCTTTCCCTGCTCCAAGGGCCATTCAAGGGCAAAGACACTGCTTTTTCTTTCTCTTGCTGTGTGTGTGTGTGTGTGTGTGTATGTGTGTGTAGAAATTTGCTTGGCATGGGGGGAAACGTAGACTCTCTGGCTGGCTGATAAGGAAGGTTATTATTATTATTATTATTATTATTAATTATCTTTTAGTTGTAGTTGGACACAATACTTTTATTTTATTTATTTTTATGTGGTGCTGAGGATCGAACCCAGCGCCTCGCACATGCTAGGCAAGCGCTCTGCCGCTGAGCCCCAGTCCAGCCCCAGGAAGGTTATTATTTTTAACAAAGTACTAGTAGCTTCTAATCACTGAGCATTTGCTCTAAGCCAGGCACCTGCTAAGCACTTGAATTA